TATTATTTTTATTTTTTTTATGTGTATGCGTGTATTGCCTGCATGTACGTAAGTGCACCTGTGTCATGTAATGCTGGTGGAGGACAGAAGAGACTGTCGGATCCCCTGAAACTGGAGTTACGCACAGTTGTTAGCTGCCATGTGGGTGCTGGGATTTGAGCCCCGGTCTTCTGCAAGAACAGCCAGTGTTCTTAACCACTGAGCCATCTCTCCAGCCCCTGATTTGCCTAAGACTTCTAAGACAAGTACCTAAATCAACTATATAAAATCAAGGAGCAGCGAGGCATGATGATGTAAGCCTTTAATCCCAGCATTCTTCAGGCAGAGGCAGGAGGATCTCTATCAGGTTGAGACCAGCCTGGTCTACATAGCAAGTTCCAGGCCAGTCAGGGCTACACAGTGAGACTCTGTCTCAAATAAATAAAATAAAATAAAAAACAAAATAGAGCTGGAGAGATGGCTCAGTGGTTAAGAACACTGGCTGCTCTTGCAGAGGACCTGGATTCAGTTCCCAGCACCCATATAGCAGCTAACAACTGTCCATTCCAGTTCCAGAGGATCCAATGCCCTCTTCTGGCCTCCATGGGCATTGCACACACATAGTGCAGATACATACATGCAGGCACTCACACATACACCTAAAAATAAATAAAACCGTCAAAAAAAAAAAAATTAAGCCAGGCATGCTGGTACATGTGGTTTTAAAATTTATTTATTTATTTTTAAATTTTATTTATTATTTTTATTTTATGTGTATGTTTAGTTTTCCCAGAATTAGAGGAATCAGCTGTCAGGCCTTTTGAGTTTTGCTTCAGGAACTTTATTTATTTATTTATTTTTAAATTTTATTTATTATTTTTATTTTATGTGTATGTTTGTATTACCTGCATGTAGGTAAGTGAACTCCTGTAGTGCAATGCCTGGGGAGGTCAGAAGAAGCTGTCGGATCCCCTGGGACTGGAGTTATGGACAGTTGTTAGCTGCCATGTGGGTGCTGGGATTCGAACCCAGGTCTTCTGCAAGAACAGCCAGTGTTCTTAACCACTGAGCCATCTCTCCAGTCCCTTAATTTATTTTTATGAGTTTAAGTGTTTTGCCTGCATGTATGTATGCTTGCATGCACTGCCTGGAGAGGCCAAAAGAGGGCATCAGATCCCCTGGAACTGGAGCTGTAAGATGGTTGTTAGCTGCCACGTGGGTGCTGGGAACCAGCAGCCAGTGCTCTTAACCACTGAGTCATCTCTCCAACCCTAGTGGCATATATCTTTAATCCCAACACTCAGGAGGCAGAGACAGACAGATCTCTGAGTTCCAGGCCAGCCTGATATATATAGTGAGGCCAGCCAGGGATTCATAGTGAGAACCTGCCTCATAGACAGTTCCTGAAGAAGCATAGCCAAGACTGGCATCTCATCTCCACATTCATATGAACTCATAAATGCTTTACTTTACTGCATGCCCACACATGTACGTCCTTGAATGCGTACGCGCACACAAGTTAAAAGATTAAAGGATGTATTTAAGAGGATTGGGGAGATTTTATGAATGGCTTTTACCCTACCTTACTGAACCTTCCAAGAGGTCCAGAATGTCTCTCTATTGAGCACTAGTGTTACCTAACACTGAGTAAGGCACCATTGAGCAGAGAGTAGCCATGTGAACCAGCAGCAACCATTTACATGGATGATTTTTAAATCTCTCATTGTAAAGCCTGTGACACCAGGTAGACCAGATATCTGCTAAGCTCCTGCCAACACAACACTGTGAGGATAAGAGTTATATTGCCAGGTGGGGCATGGTGGCTAGGCAGAGGCAGTGGATGGATCTCTGTGACTTCAAGGTCAACCTGGTCTACATAGTGAGTTCCAGGTCAGCTGGGGCTACAGGGAGACTCTGCCCCAAAAAAATAAAAAAAAAAAAAAAAAGAGAAGCAGAAAAGGAAGAGGAGGAGGAGGAGGAAAGAAAGAAAAGAAAGAGACAGAAAGAAAGAAAGAAAGAAAGAAAGAAAGAAAGCAAGCAAGCAAGCTACATTACCTGGGTTCAGATTCTGCTTTCATACCTACTGGATGTGTGATTTTGAATGTGCTACTAACCTTCTGCAACTATAAGGCCAATATAGTTCTGTATTCTATTCCCAGTGTGAAAAAGAAAAAAAAAACAGTACTTAAACTGGACTTGGTAGCACATGCCTATAATATCCAATCAATCAAGAAACAAAGGCTACAAAGAGAGATTTTTAAAATATTTTATTTATTATTATTATTTATTATTCATTTTTTTGGTCTTTTTGAGACAGGATTTCCCTGAAGCTCCAGCTGGTCTGGAACTCCTATGTAGAACAGGCTGGCCTCGAACTCAGAGATCAGTGCTGGGATTAAAAGCAAGTGCCACCATGCCCAACTTATTTATTATTTTATGTGTATGAGTGTATTGCCTGCAGGTATGTAAGTGCACCTGTGTTGCACAGGTCTGAGGAGGCCAGAAGAGGACATTGGATACTCTGGAACTGGAGTTACAGGAATCAAACCCAGGTTTTCTACAAGAGCAGTCAGTGCTCTTAACCACTGAACCATTTCTCTAGGCCCCACAGAGAGATTTTTGTCTCAAAACACAAAAACAAAGCCGGGTGTAGTGGTACACACCTTTAATCCCAGCACTCAAGAGGCAGAGGCAGGCAGATCTCTGTGAGTTCAAGGCCAGCCTGGTCTACAATAGTGAGTTCCAGGACAGCTGGGGCTACAGGGAGACCCTGTCTCAAAAAGACCAAAAAAAACAAAAAAAAATTAAAAAAACCCTGTTAGTTGTGATCTTTATCACCATTTAGGCCTTTAGCTATGTCTCCTGCCTTAATAAAATATCATTAACTTCTATTTATCACATTC